CCCCACCTCACCTAACCTAAGCCCGGGCGCCACTGGCGTCACCTCTCTTGCGTGCCCCTTTCTGCCCGGCTTTGGGCGTGTCCTGCAGTCGTGGCAAGGCTCCTCCTCCTGCTGCTCCTCTTTCCCCATTCCATTTGGACCTACTCCTAGGGTGCTTTCGCGCAAACTGTTCTCCTCTGGGTCCCCTCCTTCCGCTCCTAGCAATGGTGGCCTGGCGCTCGGGGTTCCTCTTCTGCCTCACTTTCTCCTTGGCCACTCTGGTCCAGAGAGGTAAGGTGAGCGGGGTGCAAGCGGGTACCACCCTCCCGGGGGCGCGGGGGTGGGGGCTCGGCGCTCTTGCGGCCCAGTGTTGCGCCTGAGCGGCCCGGTGCCCGCCCCACAAGCCTGCGTCTGACACAGTTGGCTGGCAGGGGGGCGGGGGAGGGGTGAGCCTGAGCCCTGAGCCCTGAGCCCTGAGCCCACTGGGGGCTGACCCTGTCGCGATCCACATGGCGGGAGAGGAGGCACTGGGACCCCTTCTGGTGCTGGGCTGGAAACAACGGGATAGTACCCCTTAAAATCCTGAACAAGGTGTCACCACGGGTGACAACAGCTGTCCCCAGGAGATTGCCTTTGGGAAACCTTGAAGAGAGCACTCATTCCCTCTAGCGGGGCTTCCCAAAATATGTTTTCAGGCCACCTGCGACAGAAGCACCCGGCAAATTTCCTGGGCACATTCTTATCCCCTTTGTCAGGATCTCTGCGGGGACGGCGATGTATAGGTCTAACCAACTCCCCAGGTTCATCTCGTGATCGCCCCAGTTTTTGAGCCATTGGTGATATTTTGCCAAAGATGAGTAGAGAGAAATTCCTTCGAATCAAGGGAGCAAGGCTCTTAGATACTAGCTACTCAAAGTGTGGTCCAGAACCCGTGCACCCCACCTGGGACTTGTTAGGAATGCAGTATCTCCAGACCCCCGCCTCTCACCTGCTGAGTCAGATTCTTCATTTTAATTGGATCCCTAGGTAATTTGCATTCATGTTTGAGAAACATCTTAGAATAAATTCAGTCTGTGGTTAAAAATAGAGTCTCCCACTGTACTGGCAGAATCTTCTCACAATTATTCATATCCCATCCCCACATCAAAAAAAGGGGGTTTAAGGAAAATACTGCAATTGAGCACAGAATTGTGCTCTGAGCTTCCTGACAACGAAGGCAAATTCAGCTAATGAAAAACAAATGAGCTCAGCAAAAATAAAACTGTCCTAGTACTCACTTCTTGGTAGATTTATGTTACATTTAAGGAGCACTGGAAAACAGTAGACAGTGCTAGTCAAAGCAGTTTTGCAAAAGATGCAGAAATGTTTCTCATGTGGGCAGCCCTCCTGGAGTTGGTGCAACATTCTACAAAGGTGCCAGGCTCTGTTCTAGACACTGGTGGTGCAGCAATTGAACAGAAAGGAGGCTGTCCTAATGGAGCTGATATCTTTGTGGGGGGTGAAAACAAGTACAAACGTGGCAATCTATATAGTATATTGTTAGTGCCTTGAAGAAAAATAAAGTAAGTTACAAGGTTGTGGAATTTTCTGTTGTATTTCCTTTGTTGTTGTTTTTGTTTTGTTTTTAATTCTCACCCAAGGATATTTTTCCATTGTTTTTCAGAGAGTGTAAGGGGAAGAGGAAAGAGAGAGAGAGAGAAAGAGAGAGAGAGAGAGAGAGAGAGAGAGAGAGAGAGAGAGAGAGAGAGAAAGGAGAGAGAGAGAAAGAAACATTGATGTGAGAGAGACATGGATTGGTTGCCTCCCGGTCACGCACCGACTGGGACTGGGGAATGAACTTGCATCTGAGGTACGTGCCCTTGCCGGGAAGGTAACCCAGGACCCTTCAGTCTGCAGGCCGATGCTCTAACCACTGAGCAAAATCTGCTAGGGCTGCTTTATTTCCTTTTGAGGTTAAAATTTTAATTTTATGTATGATGCATTTGTGGGGAAAAGTATAATCATTTAATTGACTTGCATCTAATGATGTGGGAAATTTGAATGTGGAAGCACAAAAACACTAGAAAAATGATACTCCTTTCAATGCTATCTTCTGAAAGTTTGCAACATGGTATGTACATTGAGAAGGTGAGGAATATAAATGACCAAGTTTCATTTTTTTGTGATAATGTGTTACACTAAGTGGTTTAGGAGGTGGTGGAGGAAACCAAACCGGTGAGACCATTTTACAGATGAGTAAATGGAGGCACAGAAAGTTGAATAACTTGCCTCATGTGGCAAAGCTACAATTTCATCCTGGGCTTGTCTGATTCCACAGTCCTGGAGGCTGCCCTCCTCCTACTGCTTACTGGCCAAGTGGCCTTTGTAAAGTTCTCTCAACCTTGGTCAGTTTGCCCATCTGTATAAGGCCTAACAACTCACAAAGATTTGTGGAGGGGAGCAGGCATGCATCACTCTCAGATCTGCAGCCCTGTCACCTGCTACCATCTCCAGAGTGCTTGCTGTGTGCTGGGAACTTCACATTTATTGTTTTTAATTGCTCCAACAATTTTACTGGTTATGTATTATCCCCCTCTTCCAATTGAGGGGCCCCTGGTCAAATAGCTTAAAAGAGAGAGAGCTAGGATCCCACCTACATAGAGCTGCTGCCCAGTGACTTTTTAATTTTATTTAATTTTAAATTATATTTTTAAATGATTTTTAGGTAGAGAAGAAGGGAGAGAGAAAGAGAGAGAGAGAGAGAGAGAGAGAGAGAGAGAGAGAGAAACATTGATCGGCTGCCTCCTACACACCCCTTACGGAGGATTAAGCCCCAAATCCAAGTATATGCCCTGACCAGGAATCGAACTGGCAATATTTTGGTGCATGGGACAACGCCCAACCAACTGAGATCCACTGGCCAGGGCCCTTTTTTACTTTAATTAAGAAAGCTGAACCAGAAGAAGCTTTTGCTTCAAGGTAGGGACCCAGTTGTGTTTTTTTTTTCTTTTGTTTGAAATACAGTGATAATTATGGGTTTTGCATTGGTGTTTTTTTCCAGGTATGCGGGCAGTTACAGTTTTAGAGTGGCTGTGTTGAAATGAGCAAACACAAAGTAGGTGCAAACACCCACTGGCTCTTTTGGAGCTCCAAAGTGGTAGATTGGGTGGGCCTGCCCAAGAGCCACTTTATTCTGGTCCTGGTCTTCAGCAGTGAGGTGTGGCCGAGAAAGTCTGACAGGCCTCAGAAGGCACACACAATCCTGAAGCATGATTTGTGAAACCCCACCATATTTTGGCAAGTTGAGTTCCCAAGAGTTTAAAAGGGTGGTTAGCAAATCATCTTTGTTCTAATTAGAGATGGGTTTTAGTCTATTGTGTATTTTACTAGTTTGGAAAACTCTGAGGACAGGTCTGTAGCCTGTATGCACCTACAGAAATGGGAAGCTGTTCTTCTGAACAGCGGGGAGAAGCCGTGCATGTGGGTAGTAATCATTACAAGGGCTCCATTTCCCCAATGTCTTCCACACGCTAGGCCCTTAGTGCCTCACACACATCTCCTGATAATAACTGCCCTGAAAGGTTGGCACAGTGACTCCTCTCATATCCTGAGGTCTATAGGGGCTGTTTACCTACAGCCTTGAAAATAACTGAGTGGTAACCTATCTCAGATAAAAAATGTGTGGTCAAGCAAGGTTTAGGGCTTGAATGCAGTTTTATCTGAATAACCAAAGCAGGAGGCATGAATGCAGATACTTCGAGGATTGAGGTAGGTCATAGAAATGTGAGAAGTGACCCAGAATAAGTGTGATGAGAATGCCTGCTCCCTTAACGAGAAGTAGCCCAACTGACGGAGGGTGCAGGCTTTGGAGCAAGCCTACCCAGTGCTATCACAACCTCGGGCAAGTCACTTAACTGCTCGGTTCCTTGGTTTTCTCATTTTTAAAATGGGGATAACCACACCATCTATCTCATGGGATTGTTAACAGTATTGCATGAGTGCAGTGCTTAGCAGAGCACCTGGTTCCAAGTGAACTTTCTGTTAGTGTTATTATTCACATTACCTAAGACATTCCAAGCCATATTTAAAAAATGCATACCTTGGAAATATTATGCTAAGTGAAAGAAACAAGACACAAAACCCACATATTATATGATCCCACTTATATAAAATGTCCATAGTTGGCAAATCCATAGAAAGTGATAGAAAGTTAATCAGTGTTTAGGAGGGACTGAGGGGAATGGGGAGTGACTGCATAATAGGTATAGGGTTTCCTTATGGGGTGATGGAAATGTTTTGGAATTGGATAGAGGTGATGGTTACACAACCTTGTGAATGTACTAAGAACCACTGAATTATACACTTTAGAAGGGTGAGTTGTATGGTATGTGAATTACATTTGCATTAAAAAGTTCACTGTAGTCCATGCAAAACAAGTGAAGGAGGCGGCAGCATGTGACCCCTGAGTTTGAATTGGTCTTCAAGAACCCTTGGACTTGGTTGGGCAGGAGAGAAAACAGAGAAGAGTGGGCCCCAGTGCTGGTGTCACTGAGATGCCAGACAGGAATGGAGGCAGAATCCTTGTGGTCTGACTTGGGCTATAGGGTATGAACCAGATGGGCCGCAGGGCCACCTGCAGGATTGGCCAGACCTGCTTAACCCCACTTGCCTGAGTTCTGGAATTGTTCCTGGAAAGGAATATCCTGGGCAGAGGAGGGGAATCTTCCCTTTCCTGGATAGCTCAGGGTTGCCATTATAAACCCCAGACAGTAATTTTATTGGCCTGAAACTGCCTGGGGACTGTTTGCCTTTAAGCCTCATCTGTTTTGGTTTTGGCTCCTTCCTCATTATCACAGGTCATACCCGTACCCTTCATCATTTTGGACACCAGGTAACCAAAACATGTGGGATTTTTAAAAATTTATCTTTATTATTGAAAGTATTACAAATGTGTCCCTTTCTCCTTCATTGATCCCCTTCCCCCTGTATCCCTCCCCCCAGGCCTTCTCCACACTATTGTCTGTGTCCATGGGTTATGCATATATGCATGTAAGTTCTTAGGTTAATCTCTCCTCACTCACCCACCCCTGCCTTCCCTCTGAGACTCGTCAGCCTGTTCCATGCTTCTATGTCTCTGAATCTATTTTATTCATCTGTTTATTTTGTTCATTAAATTTCACATATGAGTAAGATCATATAATACTTATCTTTCTCTGACTGGCTTATTTTGCTTAGCATAATACTATCCAGGTCCCACAATTCTGTCTCAAAGGGTAAGGGATCTTTCATTTTTATAGCTGCATAGTATTCCA